CGCCGCCGGCGCCAGCCTCAGGCCCCTGGGGGAGGCCTTTCCAGGGACTCAGGACTCGCTGCTTCAGCCCGCAGCGCCCCGCGTGGCCCCGCCCCCTGGGGGGCTCCCCGCCCAGGCCTCTGCCCGCCCCCTTCCCCCCAGGCGCCGCGGGGAACTTCCTGTGCCCTGCCAGCGGCTTGTCCTTCAACGCCTTCAAGACCGTGCTGGACATCGACACCCTGGGCACCTTCAACGTGTCCCGGGTGCTCCACGAGAAGTTCTTCCGGGTGAGTGTCCCTGGGCAGGGGCGCCCGCCAGCCACCGGCTCACGGCCCCCCTTGGGTGTTGCAGGAGCACGGAGGGGTGATTGTGAACATCACGGCGACCCTCGGGATGCGCGGCTGGGCCCTCCAGCTGCACGCGGGATCGGCCAAGGCGGCCGTGGGTAGGCGCCGCCGCTCCTCACCCCGCGGCCCCGCCCCCAGCTGCCCCCCACCCCGCCACCGGGCCCCTCCACTGCCACCCTGCTGGCACCTGCCTTGTGGCCCTTGAGGTCTGCGCTGGGCCCCTGGGGATGCCGGCCACGTCGAGCGAAGTGCGGCCCGCAGTGGCAGAGGAGAGGCCCAGCCAGCAGCCCTGGCCCCTCACCTGGCCTTCGCTCCGGCAGACGCCATGACCAGGCACTTGGCTGTGGAGTGGGGTCCCCAGGACATCCGCGTCAACAGCCTGGCCCCCGGCCCCATCAGTGGCACAGAGGGGTTGCGGCGGCTGGGTAAGGCTGGGCTCCTGGCCCCGGGGAGGCCCGCGGGCACGCCTGTGGGGCCCGCCCGGGCTGGGGGGCTGGGCGGGCAGCTGCTCCCTGAGGGCCTGGGCCCGCCCAGGAGCCACCGCAGCCTCAGACATGGCCCGGGGCTGCCCGAGGGGCCGCCCCAAGGGAGAGCGCCCTCCCCTGTCTGAGCCCCACCGCCCTGCAGGCGGCCCCGAGGCCAGTGTGAGCAGGAAGGCCCAGGCCAGCCCCCTGCGGAGGCTGGGCAACAAGACAGAGGTGGCCCACGCAGCCCTCTACCTGGCCAGCCCCCTGGCCTCCTATGTGACCGGCGCCCTGCTGGTGGTGGACGGCGGTGCGTGGCTGACGCTCCCCAACGGCCCCCAGCTGCAGGACGGCAGCGCGCTGCCCTTGGCCAGGCTCTAGGTGACTGCTGCCCGCCCGTCTCTCCTCGGTCACCCACCCCACTCACCGCCTCGGTCGCCCCAGTCACCCCCATCGCCCCTTTCGGTCATCTGCCCCGTCACCCGTGGTCACCGGCCTGGTGGCCAAGCCTCGCTGCCCGCAGGCACCTCCCAGCGTGTCCTCAGCCGTCTGCCTGGCACGGTTTTAGGATCTTGCCATAAACGACATTTCCCTCAAAATTCGCTTTTTGCCATAGAAGTGTCTACTCATGAGGCTTTAAAAAAAGATTCAGGAGAAAAAGGAAATACCGGGTTCTCCGGGGGAGGGGAGCGCCATGGTGCGCCGCGGAAGCCGGGGGCCCAGCACCCGCCCGCAGGCGTCCCGCCAGCCAGCCAGCGACCTGGTGCGGGTCTGGAGAGCACCGGGG